GTGCTAATGTATCCGGTCACATACTCAGCATAATCCTGTACGCTGACAGAAAAGTCCTCTGAGGTGGCTGCAGCTTTAAACACATCCCAGTCTGTCTGGGCAAAACAGTCCTGCAGGGTGCCTTCAGTCTCTGGGGTCCAGAGTTTAATTTGTTTGATGACAGGGTTTGTTTGTTTCAGTCTTTGTCTGTAAGCTGGATACAGGAACAAAGAAATGTGGTCTGAGTGTCCATGGTGGGGGCGGGGTGCGGCCCTGTATGCACCACATATGTTACTGTAAACATGATCCAGAATGTTCTGGCAGAAAGAAAACCGAAAGGTTTTAATTGGCTTTAGAACCTCTAAACTATAAAAAAGAATGAGCAACAGTGTAAAATATCACAGGATTTCTGATCAAATCAATAAAACACTACTTCATGCTGGGCTCCAATTGGAATTGCATGGCAATTTGGTTTACTTGCCCACTGCTGCCTTACATAGGGCCATGTACATATGCATTGAGAGCTGCTGGACCAGAGTTAAATTCCTGGTATGTCCAACACACCTGGCCACTAAAGCTGATTCTGATGTTTAATATTACTTAAAGACTAGAATAAGACTAGTTACACTTTGACTGAAAAATATTGTGTCAGAAGCCTCACACAGATGAGAAGATGCAAGTATATAATTATATTTATAAGCATGCCTGATATTTTAGGTCCATTTACACAAGATAAATAAGTGGTTCTCAAACATAATCAGTGAATTCAGGGGTGGTATGCAGAATGTTTAGATACTATAATGTGCCAGAACACTATCCGCTGTCCCTGCTCTTTAGAATATTAAAAATGTGGGCTAATTAATAATGATGTGCCACATAACAAATAATAAAGCAAATAAATGTGCATGGCATAATGACATCTTTCTCATAGGCTACAATAAAGGTTCCTGATTGCAGTGTCTCCCGCGCGAAACAGCGCCATTCGCCCCTTGACTCGATCAGTGTGATCTAAAGGTGGTATTGCAGCAGTTGCTACTTCGGCTGTTGCTATGGTGACGAGTACCAAATCGGAGATGGGGAAACAGTAAAACACTGTGATGATGACCAATTAACCCAAGATACTGCACAACTACGATGTTTTGGGCTATTCAGCATCAATCAGTGTTCCTACCAAGTAAATAAATAAATACAAAAGTTTCTGCAAAATCTTGTCAGCAAAACTTGTCTGTCTGGCACAGACATAAAAAGCATGATAAAACAGTGTAGTTAATAATATGCATTTTTATATATTATATCTGAACAAAGAAGACAAAGCTCAAATGGGCTACTTTTAAATGATGCCTTTCCACAGTAGTTCATTCTAACTTAACATATTCCATACTGGTAAAACTGAACCTACTCTAACAGTAGCCCAATCATTTAGGTACCTGACAGTGACAGTTCAGTCCAGATAATCAACCTAAATGTGGATGTCCTTCCTGCGACAAGCATGTGTTAACTGGTGTACAGCGGTAGGTAGGTAAGCCCTTTGGCTCCAGTTCCAACTCTACTGAGCCTGCTTCAGCCCTGCGCAGGCAACCGTCAGCACCGCCACTGGGTGCAGGGATGTCCCGATGAACGGAGACTGTTCGGGGTAAGTGTGACATCGCTACCGGTGAACTTTGCTTCGTAATTGTATCGCGGGTATGTGTAGCTTGTCTGTGTACTATTGACAAGCGTAATTTTGCAAACGGAACAGTTTTGCTTTTGTTTGTTTAGTGATTGGCCACAGGCCCAGTGACCCACATTCTTATCTAATGCTGTATGTTAGCTAGCTAGCTCCAGCTGAAAGTGGGTTGACATACATATATAGTTCATTGTTGCACACGACTTAAATACTCGCTACATTAAAAAGTCGCTAGCCAGCGGGAAAATGACAAGTGTGTAATTTCTGACGAGTAAAGGTGCCTTGCCACTGTGTGGCATATGTCGCAGTAAGTGTAACAAATTATTAACGTTGTTGTTTTGTTGCTGTAATTGACGTTAGCCAACAAGCTAGGTGGCGTTAGCCTTCTAGAAATCACTGCCCGGCTGCCGGCCGGCATCACTGGTGACAGGTTAGGTAGATCGATTTGCTGTACTTGTGTTTGTCACTTCAAAGCGAACTTCAGTTTTAGTGACTTCAACTACATACAACCGCACACATCTTACCGGCACAGTCATTTCCACATCTGCTGCCTGCGTTTCCGGACATGTCTGTTTTAATTGCAGTGTTAATTAATGGATATGAGACAGCTGCGTCTTCGCATGTGTGTATGCTGCTGCTCCACATACAGCACATTATTCACTTCAAGGACTCGTTTTATGTTTGCTTCAACAAAGGCCTTGACTCAGTGCGTGTATATGTACACATATGTACTGTACTGAATGTTGCAGTAATTTGCTGAGGAAAAAAAATAATCGCAGAATCAGGTTCACGTTGTTCCAAAGCTTGGTTGACAAGTCGGATTTTGTTTTGTGGACTTCATGCATGTTTTCTATGAGCAAATTAAAAGAAGTCCCAGGGAAGAGTATCCTTCTGACAGTTTGATGCACACTTCTTTGCACCCTAGTAATAAGATGCAATCAGAGCCTCAGACTTCTTATGATTTGAGTCAGATTTAATGTTGTAGAATGTGATGTGATGTGATTTGGTATGGCACTTAATGCAATAATTTGTTCAAAGTTCACTTATGACAACAGTTTCACATGCATAAAAAAGGATTAAATAGAATGTAATTTGAAAACTAATTCTCATGATGCAATGTGATAAAAGCAATAAGCTAACTCAATGAGATTTTTCTAGTCTAAACCTGTTTATAAGAAATTGACAGTATTTTAGCATAATTTTTGGGTAGTGCCTTGGGCTGTGCGATTGTAAACACAAAAAAACAACATTGTTAAATAGCTAAGTGATACCTTGCAGTTGTGTTTATACAGAATGGAGATTTTAATTGATTTGACCATACAGAGTTGTTGGAATTGTTAATGAAGCATAGAAAAATACTCTGACACTCTTGTGTTGCTGGTGCCATGACTGGCTTTAGATAAGGAGAGGAAACTAGGGGTGTAACGATCTATTTCTATTTATTTCTGGTGAAGTGCTGTTCTTTTCAAACTGGACAACAAACGCCAGGCGGTGCAGCTAGCATTCTGAGACTGGGAATCATATCTATGCTGGAAATTCACACTAAAAGTCAGATGTGAGCAGCGCATAAGCTACTGAAGCATTTGATCCCTTCAGTCCACACCGACTTCGACCTCCGTGCAGTGGTTGCTGTTGTCAGAACAGCTGTCTGTCTGTCAATAGGATAGCAACCGGATGAATGGTCTGTGGGGATTTACGCTTTGTTAAAGGCACCACAGAGAAGAAACCTGAAGAGTAGAAAACAGGGTTCCAGGGCTGACACGTGTCTCACACACATGTCTCTGAGTCAGCATGCACTGACACATTTGACAGATTAGAGTTTTATCTGTTGCGTGAGAAGAGCAAGTGATAGAATGCCTTCTATGAGAATTGGCCTTGACCTGTATTAGCCAAGAAAAATACACAGATAAACTTTCCCATCAGAAACAAGTTGCGATTATGGAAGTATCCTGGATTAAAAAGGACACACACAAGTGTAAGTGTAAATGCTATATTTTAAGCAAAACTCCTACTGCAATGTAGGAAATATGTTTGTTTTTTTTTCAGTTTTTTCTGTGTGCCAATGTAAATGCTTCATGTCTAAAAACAATGTTGAATTGAAAGCTTATCACAGGTCCTTATTTGTATTTAAATAATATTTCAAAGTGAACAGAGGAGCTCAGTAAATTTTTTAAATTATGCTTCTGTTACATTTTAATTAATAAAAATATAATTGTGTGAAATAGGTGGATAATATCACTTGATATTGATCACAGGCCCCTGAATCACATCGTGACATATACATCAGATCACAAGCAAAGACAATTGATATAGGATCATATCATGATGAGAGTGGTGATTGGAGACTTGGATACTCACTCTTTCTCTTGTTGTGAGTGTATAATGTCTCTTGTACCTGTATGGTTCACTGTTGCTTGGCATCTTTTACACATTGCAACACGTACATCAAGTTTGTCTAGTTTTACTAAGTTTTCAAGCTGTTTATACATTTACAGTGTATACATATGTAGTTGAAAGTGGAGGGCTAGCAGTTTTGTTTTTGTTTTTTTTAAACAGGAAGAGGATGTGATGATTGAGATGTGATGTTCTTTGGAATTAGACTAACGCAGGCAGCTTGAAATTGTGTTTTCTAACATACAGTGTATATACAGCTGATTTTATTAGTCAAGGCTGACCATGTGTTTGCTACAGTCTGCTGTCACAAGGTTAAAGACTTAACTCAGTCTCATGTCAAATGAAGTCTCTTGTAGTTGAATCAGTTACTTGTCACTTACAAGGTAGGTTTAATAGAGTCATTTTAATTCATAGGCCATACATTTCAGTATTTGACATTGTCTTGTTTTTACTGGATCAGCTACATTCAAGTTTTTCTTCTTCTTGATATTATTGTCTGCAGATTGAAGACACCACATGTGTTGATTGACAGGCCATTCCTTTTGCCAGCTTACATTTCAATTTTAGATCAAGTCACCTTTCCTTTTTTAACTCATCTTTGTTTATGCATTCATTCCGATATGCTGCCTTTTTATGTTCATTCTACTTAGGTGTTCTGCAAAAACACTTAGCTGCTGCACCTAAGCCTTTCTATGGTAGGGAAAACCCTGAAATAATATTAATTCAGTACAAAGGTATGACCATGCTAGGTCTCTAATGTTACCAAAACAAACACATAAGTTTTAGTTGTTAACACATCCAGAAGGAAGAACACCACATCTGAAGCACATTTGAGTCTTTTGGTAGCTTTTAGCGCTCTCATCTCAAAAAACCAAACTGATGTTGACCCTGGTTTCTGCTCTTTTTTTGTGCCATTCTGTGCAAAGGAAGCTGCCCTCTTCAGTCTGGCAGCCACCGTTTTGGACTTTTAGTAGATGAGAGGTCCTTCATGGAAGGCCCTGTTTGAAATTACTACTTAAATTTGAAAAATGTTTCTTATAACCGTTTCTAGGTGGCAGACAGCAACTGTGTTGAAATTTTTTGTTATCTTGAATATTTGAATACTAAAATTGAAAACCAGTTACTTACCCAATGGATGGACATCAAAATAGTCGACTATTTGGGTCCAGCCCTACTGCGTAGTGACAATGCAGAGCCTTTCTTTATCTTTATGAATATTAGTTTATGATTCAAAACTAGATACAGCAACCTTTGTGTAGATGTCTGTGCATAACACAGAGGTAACTATCTCTCTTTTATTTGGTCATTTTTGTGGTGGGCAGTTAGTAAGGTATAAAACACAGGTTATTGTCACATTTTGATGTAGATGAGCCCAATCAATGTAATATTTCCTCATTATTTGTCAGAGAGCAGTTGTTCCTTATTAAAAACGAAAAAGTTGACCTAAATGGAGATCAGGGGGAGTTGAAAACTGTCTTAGAATGATGCTGTCTGAAATGGGTTAAGTCTATTGGGTTTTTCCTAAACATTGTTCAGGGTAAAGGTACATCACTCTTATGTGTGGCATCAGTATCATTGTCTACAGCTCCTTACCACTTAAATTAGTCATTAGCAAATGAAATTGACTGTTTTGGAAGTTATAAATGTTGATTGATGTTGGTAGACAGCCTTCTGTAAGGGACTTACTTGTCTTCTGCACTCTCTTGTGCTAAGTGTTTACATTGACACTGCCAGGTCTGTCCAGGAATACACATTGATTTAGTGCTGACATTAATTGATTATTTGATTAGTCTTTTGAGCTGAAAATTAAGCCCTTTACGTATTTGTTTTCTCAGTTTTACATCATTACAAATTCTAAATTTGGGGTTGTGGATTGTTGTTTGGCTAAAAGGAGCACTTTGATGATTTAACTTAAGTGCTGAGAAAATGTGTGCCCCTTTTTAAACTTTTTTGCTCTTTCAAACACTGCCTCTTCAGTCTAGCAGGCACTGGTTTGGACTTTTAGTTGATGATAGAGAGCTCCTCCTTTGCTGGCTGTGTGAAATGACTATCTGTCATTCGATAAATGCTTCTTATAACCTGGAAGTTGATGGCCAGGGGCTCAGGTTGTGAATGAACTTCCAAGGCATGTGTGCAAGCGTGCGTGAGTTCAGAGCTACTGTATTATTTCTGCAGTGCTGTGGGAGACTCATGATGACCCATATGTTTCAGTTGTGAATCAGCAGTGTATGTTTCTTTACTTTAAGCTTTGTAAATGTAGCTTTTCTCTTCCTGTTTCACAGGTGAAGAATTCAGATAAGATTTGACTATAGAGTCATTTGTCTTGTGGTGAGGTGGTCACCTCACTAACTACCACACAAAGTCAAAAGGTAAGAACTAGATGAAGGCATTTTGCTTTTGGTTGCAGTACTGGATTGTTTTTAGGGTTTGTTACATTAGAATCTCATTAAACATGCCGTTGTTTAGACAGATAAGATTGTATTTTAGAATGGTTCAGTATTCTGTGGTACATCAGCTGATAGGCTTTATTAGCCTGTATTGCCAATATTACTGTGTACTTTTAAGCATTTACCTCAGAGTTTATCACAAAAAAGGCTCAATCTGGGCCAGTGAATATTTAATGGCTACAGTAAATACATCTTCTTCTCCTTAACAGCTGCACCTTAATCAAACATTTCTTTTTCAAAATTTTGACCGGAGTGTTAAACATGCCTCATTTTAACGTGCTAGCAGTTTAATATTACCCTACAAACTAGGCTTAGACTATCGCTCAAATCAAGTCTCAAATAACATATTGACAATAATAGCTACCTAGAAGGAGTGGGCAATACCTCAAATATACTCAATGTATTGTGGATCTTTCTTTTTGGGATAGAGAATATCCCAAGACTATATCGCAATCAACGAGTACAAATTGTCACCTTTATGCTGTCGGCATGAGACCTTTGGTGTTTTGTTTCTCTTCTTCTCAACTCACCTACATTTGTCTTGTTCACCCACTGTCCTGGGCAAGTGTGCGTGATGTACAGAGATGAGACGTGTTCTGAAGTGAAGAGGTAAAGAGCACAGAGAGAGCAGAAGTGGAACGACAAAGCAAGTTTGTACGTACTAATTAACAGAAGATGGAGGCGGATGAAATGGTTCTGAAAAGAAACCACTTGTTTCCTTGTTTTCAAATTTGATCTTATATGACACAAAAAGTTCATGATGGAATGAAATCACAAACAGCTGTTAAAATTGTCTGATTTGAATAAATAGTTTTGTTGAGTTTAACTTGGTTGTGACATAGTCCTACGGTGGCCGACACGGTCACAACACATGCAAAAGACACAACACATGCAAGACACAAACGCGGTATTGAACAAAACACATGCAAACGGAAAACGCTGCATTAACCAAAAAAACACATGCAAGACAGAAACGCGGCATTAAACAAAACACATGCAAAAGGAAAACGCTGCATAAACCAAAAAACACATGCAAAAGGAAAAACGCTGCATTAACTGAAAACACATGCAAAAGGAAAACGCTGCATTAACCGGAAAACACATGCAAAAGGAAAACGCTGCATTAACCGGAAAACACATGCAAAAGGAAAACGCTGCATTAACCAAAAAACACATGCAAAAGGAAAACGCTGCATTAACCAAAAAACACATGCAAAAGGAAAACGCTGCATAAACCAAAAAACACATGCAAAAGGAAAACGCTGCATTAACC